AAGAAATCAGATCCCCAGGATGGATGGACTTTGAAGACATTGTGCTGAGCAGAAGCAGGCAATCACGAAAGGGCAAACGTTGTATGACCTCCCTTATAAACAGTGGGGTCAAATTTGGTCAATTATACATAGGCCAACTTGACTAGTGGCTACCAGGAGCAGGAGGGAGAAGTGAGGGGCATGAACTCTTACGGGAAAATCCCATTGTGTAAGGGTAGGGTTTTAGAATCAATTACTGCCATGTCTGTCACTTAAGTCACAAACCTGTAAAAGTCGAATTGCCAAAGCCAGAGCTCCCTGGGTTGCTTATATACAATCGAACACTCGGTTCCTTGGCTGAGAAGGTTAAGGTACACATTCAGTGCTTCTGTTCTGTCTCTCGGTTTGCTGTATAGAGTTCAGGATATTAAAAGTTTGCAAGTGATCATCCAAGCCATCTAATTGGTCTCTGTTCACCAGAGTAACAGAGGAGAAAGGAGAGTCGGGATTAGGGAGAGAATACGGAATGTGTGGTTAATTGCCTCCATCAACAACTGCCTCTTTTGCCATGAAACCAGAACTGGATGGGGTCCCAGATACCGTGACTGAGCATTTTGGTCAAAGATACTTAGAATATGGATTTGTGCAAACTAAAACCTTGAAATTCTTAGAAGAAGAATCAGGGCCACTACCTTTAGGCCTAGCTCTTGCGGATGGATTAATCTAATGAAAACACAAACCGACAAAGATAAAATAAATAGCACTTACTACAAATTTAAAGCTTTGTTCACCAAAAGACTGTACTAAAAAAGAAAAAAGAAAAAAAAAGCTACTGACTAGAAGAGTATCTTTGGAAACCATATAGTCAACAAAAATCTAACAACTAAAATATACATAAAATGTATTTTTATGTCTATTTTTATGTAGCCATGGAAGGTGGATGGACCTCTGAAACTATTGCTCTGAGATAAACTTTAAACCTGAAACCTAAATGCCCCAGAAGTTTTCTCCAAACTGAATAACACTTTAGCTTCACTTGTAAGAAAAGTGTCCGTATGCCTTTTTAAGAGCTATTCATATGGCCTCGAACTGGCGGCGGCAGCAGGAAAGAGGAGCTAGCAACGTAGGGGGCCGTGGGTTCTTGTTAAGGAAGAGGGACCACTCAGAAGAGGAGGAGGAGAAGGAATGTCATCCATGTCGTCTCATTGTACATGATGATGAAATGTTGAACTGGTGTTTGTTTCCGTGCCTATTCTAATCAAAAGCAGCCCTGTTGACTTAGTTGGGCCGCTAACCACAAGGTCAGTAGTTCGGAGCCACTAGCCCCACCAAGGAACAAAGACAGCTCCCTACGCCCATAAAGACTCAACAGAAACTCGCAGTGTCAGTTCTGCCCTGCTCTGTAGGATCTCTATGAGTGGGTGTGTTAGACAGGGTTCTCTAGAGAGATAAAACCAAATTCCTGATAATATAATATATTTATTTATAAAGATAATTAATATATAACAAAAAATGAAATGTTAAATCACAAAGATAATTAGATATATAACAAGAAATGAAATGTTAAATCATATACAGATAAATATACAATACAAGAAATAAGCAGTTAAATTAGAAGCACTATAAATGGCTTAGTGCAACTCACGTCCGTGAGAGAAAGTTGAGAGACTAGCAGTCCTTCAGTCTCTGTCTGATGCCAGATCTTCCTCTATTTGTAGAGAGAGCTAGGCTAAGTCAGCACAGCAGCCAATCACAAGGCAGGTCACCAATCGCCAGTCCCCAGCTCCAGAGAAGTCTTAAAGGGACCTCAACTTACAGCAACACAGTCCATAGGCTAGGCGTCCCACAGGCAGTGTAGCCTTTAAATTGAGGCACAGAACAAGCAAGGCAGCCGCACACTGGTCCGATGATCACAGAGTGAGAGACAAGAAAGGCAAGGCTCACCAAGCCATCCATCTCTGCCCTTCAGTCAATCCCACCTGCGTTTATCAGCCAGGCTGGCACAATAAACTATCTCAGTGGGCATCGACCCATTTTTTATCTTTTTTCTTTATTTTTTGAATTCTAATCAACGATAGCAAAATAAAATGTAAGGAAAAATTACAGGATCAATATTTGAAGGCATCACCAAGCTATTCAATCACCCTCCTCCTTTCATCGGTCAATCTTTCCACTGTCAATGTAAGAGTGCAGCTAAAGTACAGGATGTTCAGTTACATTATAATTTTGAATATTGCTTAAGATACGACTTCTACCAAAAAATTTTGTCGTTGCTTATCCAAAACAACAAAGGCAACATTGGGGACAAGCTCATATTAAAAAACTGCTTACCATTGATCTGGAATTTCAATTTAATTTGGCATCTTGTTTTTTAATGAATCTACTAACTCTACCAATAATAAAATGGCGGTGTCTGTTACAAAGACATTGTAGCTTGTTGATTCAGTGTGTAGGCCCTGGATCCAGACTACCCGAATTTGAACCACAGTTCTGCCACTGACCAGTTTGTGACTTTGGGCACATTTAAAATTTCTTTATGCTTCAATTTCTTCAGAGTAGTAAGATAAATGATAATGCCAAGGTTGTTGTTAAGCACTTAGGTTAGTACATATAAATGTTGGCTTGGAGTTAGTTTGGGTTATTGTGTTTGGCTGTTTGCCTATAAGGTTGGAGGTTTGAGTCTGAGCAGAGACACTTCTGAGGAAAGGCTTGGAAATTTTCTTTTGGACATTCAGCCTCAGAAACTCTACAGAGCTGTAGAGTTGTACTTCTTCCAAGACAGGTTGGTTTGTTCTTCTGAAAGCCCGTGGTACTTTCAGTAGTCTTTGCCAGCTCCATAGTTCAAACGCATCAGTTCTTCTTTGGTCTTCCTTATTCGATATCCAACTTTCCTTATTCAATACCCAATTTTCACACGCACCTGAGGCAGTTGAACATACCGTGGCTTGGGCCAAGCACACCTTATCCTCAAAGTGCCATCTTTGCTTTTCAAGACTTTGGAGAGGTTTTGTGCAGCAGATTTACCCAATGTAATGTATGCATCATTCTATCTCTTGACTACCGCTTCCATGAGCAATCGTGATTGTGGATATAAACAAGATTCAATCTTTAACAGTTTCACTCTTCTCTCCCTTTACTATGATGGTGTCTACTGATCTAGTTGGGGAGATTTGGGATTTTTACAGTGAGTTGCAAGCCATCCTGAAGGTTGTAGTCCTTGATCTTCATCAGCTCATGTTTCAAGGACACTTCACTTTCAGCCAGCAAAGTTGTGTCACCTGCATCTTGCAGGTTGTTAAGAAGCTGTCCTTATTTCCTGAAGCTACACTCTTCTTCACATAATCCAGCTTCTCCAAGTATTTGCTCAGCAGATACAGATTGAGTAAGTATGGTAAGAAGATACAACCTTGATATACACCTTTCTAGAGTTTAAACCACATAATAGACCCTTGTTCTGTTTGAACAACTGTCTCTCATTCATGAATAGATTCCAAATCAACACCAATAAGTGTTCTGAAATTCTCATCATCCTCAGTGTTGGCCATAGCTTGTTGAGTATTTTTGAATCATCAAGAAAACACAAGAGTCTTTCTGTTCTTCTCTGCGTTAGCTAAGATTGACCTTACATTCGCTCCGATAGCCTTTGGGTCATGTGCTTTTCTGGATCTGGCTTGAATTTCTGGCAGCTCCCTGTCAATGTACGACTGCAACCATAGTGAATAATTTTCAGCAAAATTTTACCTCCATGTTATATTAATAATAATGTTTTAAAATGTTCACATTTTCTCTCCAAGAAAAGTTTGAGCTATACTGTTTTTCTCCCTGCTTTATCCCCAGCATTTAAATTGGTGCCAGGTGTATTGGAGGGACTCATTTCACATTGGCTGAGTGTGGCTGAATAAGTGAGAATAGATTTTAACTTTGTAATGGCACAGCTCTCATTCTAACACATTAATAACATGAGGTTCAGCATACATACGTCCTCTCCTGAGAGGCGTTTCTGACTTCTCTAAGCAGAATGAATACCTTCTTCCAGTAAGCCAAGGATGCCTGTTGTGCCGTGGGTTAAGCATTGAACTGCTAACTGCAAGGCTGGAGGGTCGAGCCCACTGGCCATTTTATAGGAGAAAGCTGAGACTCTCTGCTCCTGTACATGCTGACAGTCTTAAACACCCTAAGGAGCTGCTCCACTCTGTCCTATAGGGTTGTTGTCCTAGAGCAGCGGTTCCCAACCTGTGGATCGTGACCCCTTTGGGGGTCAAACAACCCTTTCACAGGGGTCACCCGATTCATAACAGTAGCAAAATGACAGTGACGAAGTAGCAACGAAAATAATTTTATGGTTGGGGGAGGGGTCACCACCACATAAGGAGCTGTATTAAAGGCATTGGGAGGTTGAGAACCACTGCCCTAGAGAGTCTTGTATGGACCGTGGCAGTGGGTTAATGGGTTTCGCCAAACCTGACCTGTGCAGCTCACTGGGGCTTTGCCATTTCCTTCTGTGAAGGCTAGAAACTGTGTGGGTAAATCACAATCCCTTCGTTGCCATCTGAGCATCTCTGGGCCAGTGCTGTGTTCAGCTTGTACCCTTCTATTTGTCCAATGAAAAAACTCAATGTGTTCTTAGTGTACCTAAGAGATGAAAGTTGTAAGGGGAAAAAATAGGTTCCATTGACGATGAGGAACAATTATGACATTTTTTCACTTTGGGGGCATTTCTCCTTTGTTTTCGCCTTGCCATGCATTTCCCCAGCCTTGAAAGACTATGTTTTTTATTCACTCAAAATCATGATTTCTTCGTGCAGCCCCGGAGTGGTTAAGCGCATTACTCTGCCTGAAAGGAGCACACCATGAGCTAGTTGGGGATGGTTCATGGCCCTGTCTTTCTTTGTAAGATTTTTGAAATCAAAGACCCTAGCTTTGGGTTTGGACACTGATGAGTTCTTGAAAATCTCTTTACACAATTTGGAAATGTGTACCAGGGAAGAGTGATGGTGGCCCTTAACTGACTTTCCACTCAGACGTATATTGGATCCGTGTTAATATCAGTCAACCCGTTCAAGCAGATGCCATACTTCGGGGAAAAGGAAATTGAAATGTACCAAGGAGCGGTAAGTTCTGTGCCACAAAAATAACTGTCATTTTTAGGACTTTTCTGATGCAAGGGTCAATGTGTTTCATTTCTCTCTCTCTCTCAAAGCTAGCATTACATTTTTCATTTTCTTATTATGAATTATTTATGGGGGAAGCGCAAATAAGGGACATTGGTTTTTAACGATGCGCTTACGCTTTAGCGTACAGCTCAAAAAAGCATAGCACAAATACTTGAACCTAACTTATGCACAAAATTAGTAAGATAGGACCTACCACCTACAGCGAGGAGGGTTTCTTACTTTTACTTATGCCATTAAATTTTAAAGGAAAAAAAATCAGTAAGAGGTTAAAAAAATTTTTTTGAATCTAGTGATGAGAGCCATTCTGTCAGAACCAGGACCTTCATTAATCTAAGGCTTAAATATGAAAGAAGAAGAAAAAAACCTTCTCTTAGTTCATCTCTTAAAAGCACCAAGGCCACATCAGTGCTGTCAGAAAAATGTAAGCTGTAATCCTCCTGAATCTGTTCTCCTCCTCCGTTCATCCCCACCCCGGGCCTCCCTGTCTCTGCATCCTTCCCCGTCCCTCCTTCCTCTGCAGCAGAAATACAAGCGTGTTCATTAATCCTGACCCCTGGAAGACAAACAAAAGAGAGCCCCACAAATCCATCAGTTGAAGTGGAAGGCAATTTACCCAGAGCAAGAGCCCACCCCATTGTTGCCGGGTGAATGGTGCTGGTAGCTGGAGCCGAAGGAGGCTGCCACGTGAAAAAAAAACAAAAAACCCTTTGATAATGCTGCCTTTATGGGAGCCCAGCAGAAGGAAAGCCTGTCAGCAGAGGCCGGACCCTGCCCTGGCACCCTGATCCGCGCTGGCAAGGCCCCCTCAGCGATCGCCAAGATGGCGGGGTGGATGGAAGTGGATGTGCAGTTTCCTTCCAGAGCACCGCTGCTTACGAGTCCCTCTTAGACCATCTCTTTTGAAGAATGACCTCTAGAGAAGGCCTCTCACATTGTAAAAAAAAAAAGGTCCTTCGGACTGCTGTTGGAGCAGCATCCTAAACTTGATATGTGTGAGTGGTTGTCACTATGTTGGTTAAGCTGCAACCATGCTTACGAGTCCCTCTTAGACCATCTCTTTTGAAGAATGACCTCTAGAGAAGGCCTCTCACATTGTAAAAAAAAAAAGGTCCTTCTGACTGCTGTTGGAGCAGCATCCTAAACTTGATATGTGTGAGTGGTTGTCACTATGTTGGTTAAGCTGCAACCATGCTAACACCTCCCACAACGAGGGCCAGGCTACTGTCCCGGGGTCACAAACAAGCAACCCCAGGCTCGGCGAGGCGAAGTTCAAGGAGTTAGGATTTAAAATTAGGTCCGAAGGACTTTCTGGAATCTCGAGGGGCTGGACAGAGGAAAAGCCTAAACTAGAAATCTCAAAAGTAGCGCCGAGGTTCCACGAGACCATAGGTGAGAGCAGTGGGTTCGGGGCGTGGGGACCCGTGAGGGACAGGCAGTCTCCGTGTCTCTTCCCAGACCTGACACCCTCCCTGCTGTGTGTCAGATCACCCGAAATGTAAGGAGGGTCCTTTCCCCGTCACGCACACCACAGCAAGTATTTTTCTTTGTAACCTCTTTTGAGGGAGTACGTTGAATGTGCAGCAGGACTGATGCCAGCTTGTGACAGTGAATGTAGGACAATTTATTTGGTCTTATGCGAATGCATATTTGTCCCGTGAGAGTAAAGCGCAAACCCCCGGAGAATATCTTAGTGTGGTAAGATTCCCCCTCCCCCCACCTCCCAGTGGAAGTAAAATGAACTGGTCAAACCAGTTTATTCCTCTAAAGAGCCACACCTCTTCATCTTCCTTTATGGAAAAATTAGTGTCTTCTACCCCCAAGTAGCTGACGATGCGTCACCTCGAAAGGCCAGGTCACACGTGGGCCTGCTGGAGAGTCCCGATTCCACCTTCACCAGCAACTCTTCGTGAACCCCTGAATGACGCAACCTTCACGGTGTGAATCTCAAGGTGGCTTCGTTGCCAAGGCCAAGAAGCTACATTGAACGCCTTTTCCGTTTGCTTTTGTAGGCCCAGTATGAGAACCCACCACACATCTATGCCCTTGCAGATAATATGTACAGAAACATGATCATCGACAGAGAGAACCAGTGCGTCATCATCAGGTATGAGCCAAATCATTCTCGGTTCGCTTGCAGGACGGGAGGCTGTGCTGGGGTCATTGAATTCTGTCACGAAGCCGTAGCCTGGGGCGTGAGAAGCTGCTTGATGTGTCTTGTAAGAAGTGTGCTGACTGCTCTGGGTCTCTTTGACAACCCCCGAGCATCAAACGGAAGGAGCCCGTAGTGAAGTAAGGGTTGGGTTGCTCACCACAATATCCGCAGGTCGACCCCACTAAAGATGAGGCTTTCTGATTGCAGCCTGGGAAACCCGCAGGGGCAGATCTGCTCTGTCCTAGGGGGTCACTGTGGGTCAGCATCAATGGCAGAGCTTTGAGCCTGCCTGGGTTGGACTTATTGCTTAAGGCTTTAAGGCTTCGCATCCGCATAGGCAGTTGGAGTTTTTTTTTTTCTCGGATCACCTAGGGGTACGTGTTGCCATTGGGTGCTGAGCTGAAACGAGAAAGTACCTCCCCTCCTATCTGACTGAAGTGTGGCTGTATTCTAAGCTGGAGATGGTGGCTGTCATATCCATGAGAGGGCTTCCGAAGTAGAAAGGAAGTGAAATTGTCCCAACACTTTTTGAAGCCCCTTTGTATATGTTGCACAGAGCCCTGGGGGCACAGAACCCTTTGGGGCTGCTAACCGAAAGGCCAGCGGTTCTAATGCACCAGTTGCCCCAAGGGAGGAAGATGTGACCGGCTGCTTCCAGAAAGATTTACAGCCTTGGAAACTATGGGGCAGTTGGAGCAACTGTGATTCTGACTCAATTCGACATCTACTGTTGTTGTTGTTGTTCTTAAGGACATGGTGTCCAAGTGTGTTGCACCATTTTGTCAGCTGAAGTCCTTTTCTTTAGGTTCTTGTGTTATTAATTCCTAATAATGTAGTACTTCAAGTATGAATGCTACGGGGCGTGCTGTGGTTCCCTTCCAACGTTCTGCATCCAGGCTAGCACTAGGCGTGCTGCGCTCCATCTCCGGATCTTTTAACCCAGCTCCCTGCTGAGCCTTAGCTGGTCTGAAGTGCTTGGAACATTTTGTTTTCTGTGAAGGAACATGGTCAACCATGTACACCATCTGGGCGTACAGATGTCCATCACTTAGAAGTTAGTTTTTATTCTCAATCTGAAGCAAACCCAACCTCCCAGTGAAAGGCCTGGCAGCGCTCCATTCCACAAGTTAGCCTTCTGTCGGATGGCGCTCAACTTTACTCCTTCCCTGGGGGAAGCCCCCCACTCCTCCTGTTCTGGCTTTCTTGATGTTAGGCTGAAATGTTTATTCTTAACTACGTTCCCACAGTTGCATATTTGCTTTACGCTATGTCAGCGGTTCTCAACTTGTGGGTCGCGGGGTCTTTCGATTCATAACAGTCACAAGGTGACAGTGATGAAGTAGCCGTGAGAATAATGTTATGGTTGGGGGTCACCACCACATGAGGAGCTATATGAAGGGGTCACACTGTGTGTTCGTGTGTATACATAGTGTTTCATATGTAGAGTTTTTAGGTGATATAAATGGTTCTCGCCTCCCCAGAGGTGCCTCGGAAGAAAAGTCTGGTGGAAAAATCAGCCCTTGAAAACCGTATCAGTCAGTTGTCTCAACAGCAACGGGGATGTTGAACACACACACGTGTGAGAACAGGATTTACAAAGGCAATTTTTAAATGTTTCAAGATAATGATAACAATACTACTGTAGGAAATCTGATTGCTGGATGCAGCTTCAAATTTTTCCCAGTTCTTTTTGTCATTAGGCTGCACCATCAAAGTATTAGGCTTTGAAAGTCCCTGTGGGGTTGCTATGGGCAAAATTGACTCCGTGACAACGAATTTGTTGGCGTTTTCATGGTGGTGGCGGTGCTGCCATTCAGCTGTCCCTCTCCTGGGTCGTTAACAGGCCAACCTGGCCTGCAGTTAATTTCACTTATTCCATTGTGATTTTAGAGACACTCAAGTTTTCAAATTTCGTTTTAAAAATTACATAGAACACAGGGTCCAAAGTCAAACTGTAGAACTGGATATAGAGTAGAGCTATTCGGAGTGAATGTAGACTTCATGGTATATTGCTCCTAAATATTCCCGTATGAATCTCTGAACAAGGAAAACCCTTTCTTACTTAACCACAGTCCCATTATCGCAACCAAAGAATTTGTAGTAACCCCTTCATATCATCTGATGATCAGCAATCTATTTTCACATGTCTCTACTGGCTGTAGCCACACCCTTTACTGCGGCTTTCTTCAAATCAAGAGCTGTCTGGTGCAGTTAGTCTCTTCCATCAGTTCCCCCAAGTCCACTGTGCGTTTTCCAGGATCTTGCCAGCAGACCAGTTTTTCCTTCAGGCTCTCCCACCTTTGCCTGGTTGCTTACTCATGGTCTGATGACACGCGTGCCTTCCACTGGATTTCCTGGAAGTGGCATTTAAATCTGTGATTATGTGCAGGCCAAGCCTCTTGGGCAACTCCAGTGCCGAGCTTGGTTACATGGCAGACAACACGCCGCTCAACCCCCAACTGGGGGTCAGGGGCTAATGGCAGGGCAAGAAGTTTCGTTATAGGCACAATGAAAGGAGAGGAGCCCAGCATGAGGTCGCCAATGAAGTCACTTCCCCTTTCTCCTTACCTGCTTTACCCTCTTCCTGGTCTCTAGAAAGACCAGAGGAAAGGAATGGTCATATTGCATCCACTGTCATCACACAGGAAGCTGCCTCTCTCTCACCATCCTCATCCTCCCTCTCACCATCCTTATCCGCCCCACTCTGCGCTCTCTTCCTCTCCAGCACCCTGGGTATATGCAAGAGGCTGAGTTGAATGGCGCCTGCCTGAATGCATTTGGGACTGACAAAGCCAACCAGACCCGCTCCCCTGGGGTTGGAGGAGGAACCTGTTCTTCATGCTCAGAGCTGGAAAATTCAGATACTTTTAATATCATTTAATTAAGAAATAAAGTTTTAATGACATAGTCTCTTAGCTGTTCTTGGAGATCTCCACCTCCTAATTTCCCTTGGGTGACTTTGTCTAATTAATGAAATGCACCCCCTTTGGGATAACGCCGCACGGTTGGGCAGCATCACCAGGTCTTCCCATTCGTCATCGTGCTTTCTAAAGGACACAGGTGGACCGTCAGCTGATCGGTTTCTGGGCTAGAAACTAGAGTAAAAGAAGTCAAGGAAGGAGAGAGGCTACGTTCTCAAGCATAGTCTTCGTGCTTGGATTGGCCCTGAATTGTACTTGTCTAGAAACTTGATTCATCAGAACCAACTGGACTTGAGCATCCTCAAGAAGACTGACTCTTTGCCAACAAGACTGGTTAAGGAGTATTAATGGGTCCCCAGTTTATGCTTGTATAAAGAGAATTCTGGCTCTGGGCAAATCAATTGATTCTTCCTCCTGGGAGCACAGACCACAAGGGGAGGAGCCAGTTGGCCAGGAGAAGGTTTCCTAGAGGGTTGGATTCAGAACATAGGGAGGCTCCTACTGGCTGATGTCATAGGGGGTAGCAGCCACCTCCATCTGGAGACAGATTCATCATGGAACTGAGAGTGTTTGCTTTATAGACCACTAGCTTCCTTCTGCTTCATTGCCCTGACCTCATTCCATGTTGATCAGCCCCCTTTTATTAACCTGCACACGTTTTGCCAACCCCTGTCGTTCTATTAAGTTCTAATCAGAGATAAAAAATACTCCCCATGTCTTCCTTAACAACTGGCAGAACAGGTCTGGGAGATAGTCTTCTACAGATACTTATTTCAACTCCCCTGGCTTGTCTTCTCTCACTGAACGTAATGGGGTCCTGGTGGTGCAGTGGGTTGAGCATTAGACTGCTAACCACATTGTTGGTGGTTCTAACCCACCAGCTTGCCAGCCACTCTGCAGAAGAAAGGTGAGATGACCCGTCTCTGTAAAGATTTCCCACTTTGAAACCCTGGGAAGCAATTCTCTGCCTGGTAGGGTTGCCATGACTCAGAGTCGACTCAAGGATGATGGGTTTGATTTTTTGGGATTAGGGGAAATTATTTGCAATTCTTGGATTCCCTTATTAGCTCAGTAGCGACACATCTATTCTTTCTCCCCACCCTCTCACCCCCAAAATTCTGTTTGGACTGATTTACAATAAGCCCAGAGCATCAATGTCTTCTCCTTCTCCTTCTCCTCCTTTTTTCCCAAGCTCCCTGAGCTAGTCCTAGGTGAATGTTAAGTCTCAGGTTCCTGAAATCCTGATTCCAGGAGGCTCCTTGTCTTCAGCACTGTGAACCCACTCAGGCCTGCAACTCTTCCTGAGGGCTGCCCTCTGCTGGGAACTCTCCACATAGGTTAATCCCAGCCGCCACCTGGGTGCGGGTGTACCTGTTTCTTGAGCTTTCTTTCATCCAGAGAAGAGGCCTAGCTAGAGATTTCCAAAGCTGATAAATAGCAGAGCCTCCCTTTGAATTTAGCTATGTCTGACTTCAAGCTCCATACAATTTTTCACAATCTGCTGATACATGATGCCGCTCTGTGTCTGAAGTTTTCCAGATATTCATATGAGGGCTCTTCAGAAACTGGGTAAAATTCCATCAATCTTTTCACTCCATTGCTCCTGGCAGTTTTGAAGCCCCTCATAAAACTCACTCACTGCCATCCAGCCGATGCCAACCTGTAGCCGAATGAACACCCTATGAAGAAAGGGTAGAACTGCCCCTGCGAGTTTCTGAAAGAGTAACCCTTGACTGGAGTGGGAAGCCCCTTCTTTCTCCTGTGCAGTGGCTGGTGGTTTCGAACTGCTGACCTTGCAGTTAGCAGCCCAATGCATAACCACTATGCCACCGGAGCTCCTCGTAGAATGTTAATGTCTGCTTTATGTCATGAGATAGGGAAGGACATCCTGGGAGGTCCTCCAAGACAGAGTAAGAGCATACAATGAGGTCTAGAGTTTCCTTAGCCTTGAGCTCCTAAAACGTCCCCTCCTGCCAAGACCAGCATTTTAGGATGCCTGCACTGTGTGCATGGGCCTGAGGCTCCCTGCAC